TGTTTTCAAAGACCTTTCTCATTGTATTATAGACATAAACAAAATACATATACTCAAGGCCTAAAGTAGCTATCTGGTGCTCTTTTGATTGAATTAAAAAAAAATCATAATGGATGCAGAGCTTCAGTGCTCCCATGGTGCCATGCACATATTTGCTGGCTTCTTAGAATAAAAATTGGCTGAAATTTTACCTCTTGCATTCCAAGCATGTTGTTGTTGTTAATAGAGAGATTTTATTGTTAAAGTCTCCTCCCCTAGGGTTCTGGTGATTTTTTCATACTTTTCGTATCTTCTATTTGGCTTCAAATAAGGTAAAGGCTTGACAAAATTCAAATTGTACTGAACTATGTGTTGATTTCAGTTATGGAACTTTCCTCATGAGTGTCTTTTGTGAGAACCATTTCTGAAGCTCTTTGTAGGAAATGACGTGTTAACCACTCATTGGTTCTCATAGCTTTGCAATGAGGGCAAGGCCTTTCTCGGAGTTGTTGACTTCCCAGATTCTGGTGCCTCTGAGTGACTTTTCTCCTGTGCATGCTGTCTAGTGAGGGGTGGTGTTCACTTTCACTCTCCTTCCACGAAGAGGCTCCTGAGTCAGATTCTCCACTGTCACGCTCAGAGGTTTCACTGCCTTGTTGAGCCAGATTCACCTTGTGGGCTGCAAAATGGCGCCTGACTCGTCTTTGTTCAAGATAAGCATTGACCAAATCTACTTCTGAGTCAGTGATGGGGAAAAGTTGATTCTGTTTTGGTTTCTTCGTCATTTGTGAAGAGTCCACGCAACCACCTTTGTTTTGCCGCTGATAGGAATTTTCTTTGCTTGCTTTATTTACTGGAGCGATCGTCCCACTCTCCTCATTCTGTTTATTCTCAGACATCTGTTTTAGATATATTAGTTAGTAAGCATGACCTCAGGTGCTGTTTTTCTCTAAGACCTCCTTGTTGAGGAACAGGATTGTTTGAAGCCTTTGAGAATGACTAACTATACAGCACTCTTGTAAGTACTAAGTACTCTGGAGAATGTTAAAAACTACTTTTTGCTTTATAAGAACAGTTTTATTTGGATAAAATGTGGCATTGAGTAAATTAGACATGTTTAAAGTATGCATGTTGGTAAATTTTTATATCTGAATATACCTTTAATACTATCACCATAATCAAGATAATAAACCATCATCCCAAATACGGTATCACCTGGGCATAGGAGCACATGCCTATAATCCCAGCACTCAGAAAATTGAGGCAAGAGGATCATTCGAGACCAACCTGGGCTACAAAGTGAACTTACTATTATTTTTTTATTTTTTATTTTATTTTTTGCAAGAACCAGGGATTGAACTCAGGCCCTTGCACTTGCCAGGGAAGAGCTTATTCCACTAAGCCATCTCCCTGGCCCCTACAAAGTGAACTTAAGGCCAGCCTGAACTTCATAACAAGACACTGTCTCAAAAAAAAGCCAAACAGGGTCTCATTGCATCTTCATAATTACAAGTGGCTTTGATACCACTGACTTTATTTTTGTGTTTAATTTATATGTTGATAAACGTTTGAGTCATTTGTCAGATTTTGGTTTTGTACATAAAGCTGCTATAAATGCTGCTGCACAAATCTTTACATGAATATTTATTTTTATGCTATTATTATTATTATTTATTTTAGGGAAGAGTCTACAGGATGTTCAGGGTCTCACTACTAGATCGGACTCACAGTGATCCACCTGTTTACAGCCTTCCAAGTGCTGGGATTACAGGTGAGTGCCACCATGCTCAGTCTCAATTGCCATCTCAGTGCACCCCGGGGGCAGGGTCTGCATGGCAGGCCCGGATATTGAACTCCCAGCTCCTGTCCCTGCTTGCAGGCACTTTAATTCGCTGACCTATTTGGCTAGCCCTTTCTGTTGTATATTTTACATCTTATTTATTCATTCAGTTTCTCACACTAGTAAGAAAATATGATTTTTACACATATAGCTCTGATTTATTTCACTTATGAGTATTGTCTTGAGTTTCATCCCTTTACCTATACAAATCACTATTTTGCCAGGGATATGGCTCAGTGGAATAAGTGCTTCCCTGGTAAGTGCAAGGGCCTGAGTTCAATCCCCGGTTCCGCAAAAAAAAAAAAAAAAAAAAAAAAAATCATTATTTTATCCTTCTTTATGGCTGAGTAGTACTCTATTATAAACATCCTTTTTTATTTATTTCTTGGTTGATGAACATTTGGGTTGTTTCCAGGATTTAGATAATATAAATTGTGCTGCTATAAACAGTGCTGCACATATATTACTGTAATACAACTTTTTTAAAAATGTATTTGAGGGGCCTGCTCATTAGCTCAGTTGTTTAAGTGACTGCTTAAACAAAGCAGTGAGGATCAGGATGCTGTGGTTCTATCCCCAGAACTTACACCAACCATACTTGCCCTGAAGGCATTCTGAGACCGCCAAAAAAAAAATGTATTTGGTACAGGATCTCACTACACAGCTCAGACTCGTAGTGATCCTCCTGTTTTCAGCCTCCCCAGTACTGGGATTATAAGCATGTGCCACCATGCCCAGTCTCAGTGGCCTGCTCAGTGTGCCCCTGGGCAGGGCTGGCACAGCATGTAGTGCCAGGGATCAAATCCAGGTCCTTGTACTTGCCTAAGCAGGCGCTTAGTCTGCACCAGCCCACAAGCACTGAATTTGGATATTAAATATACCAGGGGTTTTTCTGAGGAATTTTTGGAGCATTCCATGTAGAGTATCATGTCATCTGCAACTAAAGATAATTTAACTTCTTCCTTTCCTTTTTTTTTTTTTTTTTTTTTTTTTTTTTTGTGGATCCGGGAATTGAACTCAGGGAAGCAGTTATTCTACTGAGCCATCTCCCCAGCCCCCATTCTTTTCCTATCTTTGTTCCATTTATCTTTTTCTCTTTTCTAGTTGCTTTGGCTAATGTTTCCAGAACTATATTCTATAGGAGTGGTGATAATGGATATCCTTGTCTTGTTCCTGATTTTAGAGTGAAAGCTTTCAGTTTTTTTACCATTTAATATGATGTTAGCTATTGATTTGTCATAGATTGAGGTAAAGAACACCTATTCAAATGTTCTGTAGGCTTTTCATCATGAATGAGAGTTGGACTTTGTCAAATGCTTTTTCTGCTTCTATCGAGATAGTCATGTGATTTTTATCTTTGGTTCTGTTAACATGGTGTATGGCATTTATTGATTTGCATACATTAAGCAATCCCTGCATCCCTGGAACGATCTACTTGGTCATGATGTATAATCTTTATAATTTGCTGCATTCTGTTTGTCAGTATCTTATTAAGGATTTTTGCATCTATGTTCATTAGGGAGATGGGCCCATAATTTTCTTGTGTGGTTACGTTCTATTCTAGTTTTGGAATCAGGGTAATACTTGCTTTCAGGAATAATTTTGGAAGTACTACTACCCTTTCAATTTCAGTAAAGATTTTCAGCATTGGTGACAGTAGTTCTTCTCTAAATTTCTTGTAGAATTCAACAGTGAATCCATCAGCCTGGGCTTTTGTTTGTTGCTAAATTTTTTATTATGTTTTTAATTTCGTTGGCTGATATCAAGTTATTCAAGTTTTTTATATCTTACTGATTTAATTTTGGCAATTCTGTTGTCATGAGGAATCTGTCCATTTCTTCTGTATTTTCAGCTTATTAGAATATAGGTTCTCCTAGAAGAGATTGATGATCTCCTGAATTGCTATTGGATCCATTGTGATTTCCCCCTTTTCATTCCTAAATGCTTGAATTTGTGCATTTTAAAATAGACTTTACCTTTTTAAGAGCAGTTGGAGGTTGAGAACAAAACTGAACAGAACATATCAGAGGTTTTCACTATACTTCTTGTTTCACAAATGCTTGTTCCCCCCGCCCCCTTCCAACATCAGGTGCCAGAGCAATACATTTATTAAAACTGTTTTGTTTTGTCTTTTTCAGAACTGGGGATTGAACTCAGGCCCTTGCGCTTGCCAGG